TCAGACGGGATTGATTAACGCCAGAAACTTTATCCTTTATCCTTTAACCTCACATACATGAAGAAATGCAAGCTATAGGGAAGATTAGGGCAAAAATGGCGAAGAAAGCGCGAAAATCTGCGGTTCTAAAGAATTATAAAGCTATAAAAAAAGTCGTAATAAAGGGGGCTGTACGAAATTATGTGTCTGTTACCATCTGGTGTCTCCCTCATAAGCATACTATCTGTCAGCGATCTGAAGTTCATTGTGAATTGCGCAGCCTTAGTGGGCCATCATAACACGGCCTTATGTGGGCGTGCACGTCGGCAGAAACCGGTTTCCGAGCGCATAAAACGCCTTGTCGAAGTCGTTTTCCGACCTACCAATGCCCCACTTATCTCCCATAGGTTGCATCCTAGTGAAAAAAACATGCTGGAATGCCAAGCGTTTCCCAATAAAAAATAGACAGTTGTTAGTAATTTTTGTTCCAACCCGTTCATTCCCTACTCGATCTCCCTTTTTTATCAAAAGTATGGACGCTATCAATTTTAAACTGCTCCACTGAGGAAGTCGCTTGTCGAGGAATGAAAACAATCAATGAGGGAACACGAGTTCGCTGAAGAAACCACAAGTGCTATGGGCCGGCCTACGGCGCGAAATATGGCTGTTCGCTCCTTCACTGCCATTAACTTCTCAGACACAAGCTGGAACAGATGTTTTCTTTCTTAATGACGATACGGACGTCGAAATTGTACCTAGCAATGCCTTTCTCTGGCATTCATCGTAATCGCTTGCGACAGAAATGAAAAAAGGAAAAGATTCACTAAATGCTTGATGGAGTTCACCAATGTCACTCATTTCTTGATCTAAGGACAAGAGGTGGATTCGATGAAAATGCTCCCTTGCGCCTCTAGCAACTGCACTAAGAGCTCCAATCACTTTGAGTTCTTATTATCCAATAAATTCATGGTACTGTTCTTCTGAGACAAAGTTGTTCACTAGTAATAACAGTGCGGTATCAGCAAAAAGAATCATATTAAACTTCTATAACGAATAATTGCTGTTATCATTACCAATTACCCATCAGTGTATCACAGAGTAAACTAAGATTATCTCGTTATTTGAAGGCAAGTGTATAGAGAAAATGCTGTTTACATATTTTTTTTAATAACGCTGCTGTAACTTCTCGAACGGCCCAAAATATCCTATACAATTTCATAATATAACCCACAAAGTAACTTCTATGGCCGTCTTAGAAGTGATTCCCAGCCATAAAGAGCTCGAAAGGTGGCCGGTGGTCATTATTTCAACGAATTTAAGCCTTAGAGTAGATAAAACCATGATCAACTCAATGATGATATCTGTTCCTTGCAAATTACAAGCCATGTACCATGCTTTAACGAGGGCGTAGGGAAAAGTCCTAGGCAGCAGTGTCAACCGAATACTTGACTGCTACCATTAAAGCTCAATAATATGCAGTATGAAGGTATGAAGGTGTGTGATATAGCCTCAGCCAAGATGGTACAGCACTTTATTCAGTCAACGTTTCGGCGTTACTGCCTTCGCCAGGACCTGGAAGCCAAAAAGAATTTGAGATTCATCCAATTCATGCAAAATTTCAGACTTCGGTTAGCAACCAAAACTCACACGATGCCAAGATTCATTGAAAGTGGTTCATGGTCAATTATGAAGGTATGGTTTCCCACCCTTCCTCTGGCTTTTCGGTAAGTCAAACTGGATAAAATAGGGAAATTTATCAACATCATCGCCATAGGACGAGATACCCTTAAATTATAGTGTTGTTGGCAGAAACTGATCCACAGGAACAAAGCGGAGAAGCTTTCTTTCGTCTAGTATATACATCTAACTTGGAATTTCAAGTTGTTCCAGAACAGCTCAAGTAGCTGTTCCAAAGAGCTCAGGTAATTAGTTTACTCCTCTGGACCCTTAGACTTTTGATAGAATCACAAGGGACGAGTAGCTGCTAATGACAGCTGGACGGTTACCAGGCTTTCACGAGAGCCACCATATTGCATTCCGGTCAATGAAATTGTAAATGGTCCCTAGCAGATTCCCAACAATTCCAATATCTAGCTTGCCTCGATTTACGGCGAGCTCTTTGAATAACTAAGCGGCTGACGAGCCAATATGGGAACATTTTTGCGTGTTCGTGCCTATTTTCAATTTTGAAACGCAGGGTAAATGCACTGCGTATCCCAGAAGATTCCAGACCCATTTGGGCAATAGAATGCTGCCATCACTGGGATAAAGTTTGAAATGCTCTGTACAGTACATCGGAAGTCCTGCATAAATTCTTTTTTTTGTAAAGGTTCTCGAATACATTAGATTCCCGACCAAACGGTAAAAAAATTGTTTGAGGAACTTTTTTTCCCATGCCGTCAAGTGCCCGATTGATATTTATTCCAAAGAGCAGGTTCAATTTTTCATTTTCATCTTTCAAGACGGTCCTGAATTTTATAGACTTACCTGTTGGAGGATACTGTAGGCACATGCCATGCCGACCTGACCCACTCCAACGACAGTGACTTTCCCATGGGGTGTAGTGGTGATCGGGGCAATCTCCTCGAACACCTCGTGTACTGTTGCTGCCATGCTGAAAATGACGGTTAATAATTTGAATTAAGATAAATTGATCAATGAATTTCCGGAGTACTTTTCAACAACCTGCTAGACACTTTTTCCCAAGACACCATTGACTTTAGCTCAATGAACAGTGAGTTTACACTTTCAAAG